ATCAAGGTAACATAACTTCATTTGTACGTATTCTTTCCTATTTAAAGTTCCTTAAACCAGAAACGAGTTCCTTGAATGTTTAAAGTTAGAGGATGAGCCATATCTGTGGTACCTTTTAGTAGGATGGTCTGATTTTTTGTAGCGGCAAATTTTAACCTCTTTTTTCTATACTAATCCCCAATCAGGTTGGCGCACCTTTCCGCTTCTTGCATCAACGCAGCTCTGCTATTGGAGAACACTACAGCGGTTAAATCATTCACATAGGCAATGGTATGCAACTGCTCCTCCTCTAATATTCCCAATGGCACATCAAATACCAACTTTCATAGAGCAGGAGATGAAATTGATAACACGCAACTTTAAATTTCTTACAACTTTGGATAAAATCAAACGAGTCGTTTTCAAAATATAAGCATATCAAGAACCATAACATTTTCATCCATAAGCGGAAGTAATTTTTTAATGCGTTTGATAGAATCTGATGAGATTATCTATCACTAACTTTCCTCCAACTTTGGGCCAAATGGAACGTGAGGTTTTTGAGATGTAGGTGTATATAGTAAGACTAGTAGTGAGTGATTCGATGTAACTGATGGAAAATATTTTTTCAACAATCCCAAACTTTTCTTCAACTTTGAGCCGTATCTGAAATATACCATGTCTCAAAGATACATTTACGCGTGCGTGAACAGATAAGTTGAGTGGAATTTGATGCAATACTTCTTTTAATTAATAATTAGACAGTGATAATAATATATAGTATTTTAAATAAATAAACGATAAAATCAATTGAGTACTCCGAAGCATTGTTAGTTTTGAATCCCTTTCTGTTTTATATCTAATATAGGGTCACTATTTTATGTAAAAACTAACAGGAGGTATTAAAGCGTTCTTTCTTTCAACTCTTTTTCAATACAAATGTGTTAGAAACCATAAAAAATACCCAAAGCTTACATTCGAGTTTGTTTCGATATTATAATAGTACCGGTACTAGATTGGAATAAAAATTGTCAACAATTCTGATACCAATATCGAAGGACCCTTCAGTGAGCTATCCAGTTCTTTTTAAAATCTATGGTGGCCTTTAGTCAATCAAGTTAGATAGTGAATCGTGGCCTTATCCACTCACTCCCCATTACATCCCCATGATGAGTAGATTAACTAGCTTTTTAGGTATTTGTTTGACCATTAGAATGGTGCACATAAAATAAACCAACTATTAAATAAATTTGCACTTGTTAGGCATATTTTGGGAGAAAAAAATGTTTTAAATAATTACCCGTAAGACGAATATTGTGTATTTCATATATTATGTTTATTGGTTCAGATGGTGGCATCAGTGACAACCTACTGCGTGATTCTCATCCAGATGGGTTAGAGGCTAAACAAGACTCCGATAAGAAACCTATCCAAAAGGAAAAAGAAGTTTTTGTTTTTTTGGAAATGACAGATTGTGTGCGGTACTTCATTCCATTTTGCCTGATGATTAATATTCTCAGATATTAAGCAACGAATCCGATGACTTACCAACAGTGGTGTCGCCTAAGTTTTTAGTGTCCTGGATGAAATTAAATCAGACGCCTCTCCTACCCTCATATCCTTCAAACACGGCCAACAGTATAATGTCTCATGTTTACGGGTTATATTTATTGTACTTAATTATACTTTTACACGTCCATTGACGACAGATAAATCTCCTGCCAGGTTGTTGTAATTTATCTAACAATAGCAAGTAGAACTGAAGTTTAAAATAATTATTCTATTAGCCGTGTATGATGCTCTAAGTAATCATTAAAAGGAATGAATTAAAAATTTAAGATTTAATAGAAAGAAATAAGACCTTTTTAAAAGCATTGTAAATTCTTTAAATTATTGTCCTTCATTCGTGGCATAGGCTGAAAGGCGGAAAAACCTAATTTTGAAGGTATTGGTAAAATAATCTTCTTTTAGTAATGATAAATAGATTAGTTTCCTAAGATATTTCACTAATCCAATTGGTAAAATATTGATTTTTAACTTTGTACGAGCCTTTAAAATCCTTTCATGGAATGTTTCATTTACAAAGAAAATTGTTCGACATTATTGTTATTATTGCCACCCTCATTTTGTACGTTTGGTACGATTTCTTTTTGTAATCATGAACAGCGATTCAAAACGTTACAGTACCTGAACAAAAAATAACTTATTCGTATTTGCAAGCCTACAACACTATTTTGAATAAGTACTAAAATAAATAGAAAAACAATTTTTTTGTTGGTCCAGACCTTTTTATCGCAGGTCTATTATCTATTTGTTTATTAAGACTAGACTCCTAAAAAGATATTAGAACAGATTCCAGAAGCTTCTATAATTTAAGCGTCATTTAATCATGTTAATTGAATTAAATTTATTAGTAATTTTTGAACGAGAGTTTATTTAAAATGAAAAGATTATTAAACCTGAAATAAGCAAGTATATAATTTTAAGTTTATTTTATGTGTTGTATAAATTAATGTACCTTTTTGTAATATTTTAAATTAGTAATTGAGCCCTAAAAATATTAATTGATTGTTAAAAAAAAGGAATTAGTTAGGTTTTCTTTATTCTTTCAAAAACCAAAACGCTATTTTTTTTATATATGATATATAAATCAGTATGTCTTTGTATTTTATTTAAAATCTTTCTCTTAGATATTATTATATGTTAAAAAATATATATAAATAAAACAAAAATTAAATTAAAAAAAAAGGTTCTTTAGATTCTAGTTATTTTGTCTAAAAATGAGGAATTCCGTCTTATTCTTATATAAGTTAGTAAATATTTAATTAACTTGAATTTTTAAAATAATTAGTTGTTAAAAAATAATTTCATAGAATAAGTTTTTGTTATTTGGTAGCACGAAATAACAATCTCAAGCTTCCATCTCTCAAAATCATGATACTGCTTTTATTTATTTTATAAAATTGATAAACAATTTTTTTTTTTTTTGATTTAGAGATGGTTGACCGTGATATAATATGAGAAGGAGTTGATCGGGGGGTGCGGTCAAATAAATACTAAATTATAGAAATAGTATTATTTAATTTTTATGCCGACGTTTCAACCAACTTCAACGTTTCAATTGCCTCCTGCAGTGCCACGTCCCACACCCTGATGAAGACCTGCAAAGTGGGTCGAAACGTCGGCATAAAATTAAATAATACTATTTCTATAATTTAGTATTTATTTGACCGGACCCCCTCCCCCGATCAACTCCTCATATTTATTTGTTTATTATATAAATATAAATATATTGCATTTACTTATATTGTAATAGTTGAAAATAAAATGGATGGTAATAATTTTTTATTTAAAGAACAGACATCTCAAAGATTCACTTTCTACTTCAAATGTAAAACTTTTTTACTACCTCGCTTATTCGTCCTAATCGGAATCGAAATCTGATCGGTTGAAATGAAATCTGAGCATGCTATTCCAGTGTTTTACAGAAAAACTCTAATGTTCCGTAAAAATTAAAATTAAAAGCTCCTGCAAAAATTAGTTTATAGCTTGCAGGTATATCATTATAAGATGAATTTAAATTGGTTAGAGCAGCTTATTGTAAATTTACTTGAAGATATGATTTAATTTTGGTTTATAAACGATTGTTCGTTATTTAATAGTCTTCAAAAGGGCCGTTAATTATTTATTTTTTGCTTAACCTAACCTAAGTGTTTTCATCAATTACAACAAAATTTCCACTGCTGCCTAGACTATTGCAAAACATAAAATACATAATCCCTCTTCCTTCACCCTATAGCAAGATCTTTGCTGTTTTTTACTCTGTTGCTTTTTCTTTTATTAATTTGCTCTTAATAAAAGTTCGTAGGTCAAGATTGACTGTAATAAAAACAACTATCTCTTTTGTTTCAATAATTTAGTTACCTGAAACTAGCATATTTTGAGAGAATTTAAAAATTAATTCATTTTGCTTTTTTACCATCTGTTAATCCGGAGAGCCGGTTAAGCAGTGTTCTACCATATAAGTTTATAGAAAATTTAGTTTTGATTATGATAGTACCAAACATATTTTTCTGTGACTTACCATATTATTTACCATTAAATGAATTACAGTACTTCTTATTCCAATTTTTCTGCCATTGCGGCGCTAGTGATGCCTTGGATAGCCACTGTAATTGGCGGAGACAGAAACTTCTATTTGGCACTTTTTTTTTTTGCAACATTCGAAATAATAAAAAACCTTTCCATTATTTTTGCTGCCCGTACTATCATTTGACTGGACTAATTGCAATTCTCTAATTTGTAATATTTTTAATTGAGAGCTTTTTTGGACATAATATATCATTATAAATATAAATACTAGTTATACACACCTTCTTACCTAAAGTGAAATAGGAACCATATAATCACAGCTAGGCAGTAATTAAATATTCAATTAAGTAGGCGTTGATAACCTGATGGTAATCGCCTATAAACACCAACAAACAAACATGTTCAATTACATTAACTGAATATTTAATTAAGTAATACTTGTTATTTACACCAGTAATTGCTATATTCCTTTCTATTATTGTAAAAGAAAAAGATGCTTTCGATTGAAAATGATGGAAGATATTATTTATACAATTTACAACCCCTATATTTATAAAATCTAATAAATTATTTATATAAAATAAAATTTAATAATTATAATGTTGATAGAAAATTAATCTTTGTATCTCAACATTATTAATATTATACAAAATAGAAATTTTATTAATCAACAAATTAATATTTTTAGGTTCAAATATACAACACAAAATTCTGAACATAATATATTTACAGAATGTAAACTATAAATTAATTAACAAAACATACAAAATAAACCAATTAATTAATACAAAAAATATTATTGCTTACACAATATTATGAATAAAGTAATATAACACACTACAAATAAAGCATTTTTAAAGGCGTTTGAAAAAGTTGAATAATAACTAATGATTATTCTTCATCTTCAAACCATCTAAAAATGCTTTATTAATGATATCTGTTTTTTTAGATATAATCTCTGTAGTATATTTAGGAAAATTGTCCGTTCTATTTTTTTTAGTTGGCCCAGCTTGTTCCTGGGAAATGATTCTTTTTTGTGGATTGGATACACCAGGGGAACTGGCTGCAATTTTGTTGAAACTGGTGTTGGTTTCAACATTGAAAGTGTATTTATTCCACAAACTCCGCACATATTGAACAGAAATATAATCTAATTGGCAAATTAAGAGAGCCTGTTCTTGTTGAGGTAGTTGGTCCAACCTTTCTCCTATCACGAATCCATAATTTTGTGCACAACTTTTATTACACTCATTCGAATTTCCCCTTTGATGTTTTAATGTGTCTACTAGTTTATTGAACGAGGCAGTCATATCCTCTTTGATGGTTGTTTTTTTCTGTCTTGGACTGCTGCTATATATACTGCTGTTACATACTAACAGCGAATCATCAAATGCTGCCTCTCCTTCATCTTCCCATTCCACTGTAGAGGAAAGCTGAAAAAAAAATAATACTAATTTTAGATCTTGACCAATAAATAAGCTGGTATCATACACATAAAAAATAAACCTAAAAAAAAATTCAGATTTTTAAATTTTGTTATACTTTTTTCTCTCTTTCATTTGTCATGCTTATGAAACATTCTATATACTTCTGGAAATACTTACTTCTGAACATGAATGGTTTAGAAAATTTTTAACAACTTAAGCAACTAATAAACATATTATCACACACGACAAAAAAAAAAAAATCCATTTCAAATTTTATTTTAAAACGAAAATATTATGAAATTCAAGTTTATGATAACAATTACTACACTAGTTCATATACAGAGTGATGAATAACCAACTGTGAAGGAATTATAGTATTAATGTAAGTGATTTGTTTCGGAAGTAAACAATGAGGTTATCAGATAAATAAATAATGAGGATTGAAATGGAACAAACTCCAAAAATGATAATAAACATCAGAGATCACAGATCATATATTTCATTAACTAGATGATGTGATGTGAATTGACCCATAATAAACATTAACCAATTTGTATATATAAAGAATGTATACATACCGTATTTATTGTTTTCCTACATGAATATAAGGCATTAAAAACTCCTCCATTTGCTTATAGGCGAACCATATAGGTTCATAGACCTCATCAGTTGCTAAAACAAAATAATTAAAATTAATTGTGAGGCAGCTAACTTAAAATTTAAAACAATTCAAGGTCATAAGAATAAATATTGGATATTCAGTAACTAAGCCTTCTCAGATTGTTTAAATTACTCATTTAGATCGCATTAGTAATAATGAACTTGATTAAAAAATTTCTAATATTAAAAAATACAATAAATCAAATAACATAATAAATGAAGAAAAGAATTTTTAAATGCATTCCTTCATGAATCAAACAATATTGCCAGATCATTGCAAAAAGTCATCAAGTGAAATTTCATTATTTCTTTAAATAATCAAGAACTTTATTTTTTCCTTTATAAAATCATAAAATTGTGCGCTTCTTGTAAGTATAATTGATGTACAAATGGGTTTGTTTCATTTCCATTCCCATACAGTGTTTTTGAATAGGTAAATAAAATCAAAATTCATAAAAAACATTTTTGAAAGTTAACCTACATCTAAAATGCACTTAGTGACTTTTTGTAGTAAACGGAGGATATATCAAAAATGTTCACTGGTTAGAGAATCAATAATTAACTATGTTTAATGAGGGAAATTTGACAATCCTAGCAATTATGGGTGAAAAATTCTATAAAATCGTATTAATTAGCTTTACAGAAATAAATTATAAAAAACACAGTAAAATGTATATATATATATATATATATATATATATATATATAGAAATTTCTTGGCAAAGAAATAAACAACTGACATTAATAAGGAAAACTAAGATCAATTTTATGGGTACCTTGTACGATTCTCGTGAATTTTCAACATCCACCATCTTCTTCTTTGCTTTCTCTACTTATTTTTTTCTACTTGCTTTTTTTTATATATAACATATATCCAAAAGCAGCAGTCAGTCCCACAGCAATTCCATGATGTTTGCTTGTACAGCGCACACTATCCATGGTTGACGAGCTTCAGTTAATTTGATGCAAGGTTTGCCAATACCCATTTGCCTGTAGTGTGGGCCCAGCATTAGACTTGAGCTATTTGGGGAGGACCAAGTGGACAATCCCAGAAGCTTTGAGTCCATTAATCCTTTAAGCCTATTAAAATACACGGAAGCGACCAAATAAATGTTTTAATAGTAAAACGAACTAATACCTGGCACACAATAAATCCTTGAGGATCACAGTGCCTAATGCCAACAGAAAAAAAAAAATATATATTTTAATTATATCTGGGATGAATACTACAAAAATTAGCTTGTAACAAATATCCATATTTATAAGTGAATGCAATAATAAAATAAATGACACCATTTTGCATTAGTTTTTCAATAATATAAATACCACTGTAACAAACAAATATAACTTATTAAATCTTCTAGCATTTATCTGAACAGAGTAAAAAATATTTTTCTTTTGTTTTAATAATAAATTTTTTTATTTTATAAAATTAGTTATCGTAAACCAGGATTAATTTGAAACTAGGTGACTGTTTACTTGGGTTTATTTTGAAATTGAAATAACCTGGTAGACTGGAACATTAGTATATTAAGACTAAAGGAATGTTGTCTGAATATGTTCTAGCTCACAAGGTTATTTCATATTCAAAATAAACTCTATTACACATTTAATCTGGTTTACAGTAATCAATTAATTTTATAATTTGCAATAATTAATTTTTATTTTACATTTGGGATACAGATTTAATGAAAGAGTGTGGCTACTTGATGTTGAGAAGGCAACTCAATCATTTATTCATCTCCATTGTAATGCTCTCAGACAGATATATTCTTGTAATTAATAATCAATACTTACAAATGCCAATACATACTTACATAATCAGCTGCAATATGTAAAAGAGTAGTGAAAAGTATTAATAATGTACTGCAGATGTTTCGAAACTTTATTTAGATTTCTCAAGAAACTGTTTGTTATGAGTAAATGAATTGAAAGAAAGGATAAATTACCAGTCCGTTTTATTAATACAAACATTTATATTAATATTTATTACATTACAAAGTTAAAATACTTCTAAAAATAATTTTATTGTTCGATAACTTTTATGTACATAAATGAGCATGTTATGAAAATTCTCTTTACAAGATCAGATATTACATAGAATTAAACATAAAATAAATAGAATGAAACAGCCGTAATGAGTAATGAATATATTATTATATAACATCTTAATTATATGATATATTAATGGTTCACTTCACAGAGATGCTGGTAAGTACCAATTAGCTAAGAGTTGGAAACTGTTAAAAAAATGTCTAATCTAAGTTTTTAATAAATGTTTTAAGTGAATATTAAATACATATACAAATAACCAAAGGGTATTAATAATAACAAGTTGTATGGTCCATAAAAATATTAAACATTTATTTTTTACTGAAAATTTTAAAATTTGCACTTACATCTGTGAGGTTGAACAACATAATGGCATTGATCTAATTAAAAACTAAAAATATTTCTTTACTATACTAATTTTAATTACCTAGCAGAAACAATTTAATTTAGAATATAGTAACTAAAATTTATATGTATTTAACAAGTGTATTTACATGACATTGTAGACATATATAAAAATAAAGATGGTAAAAAAATTTAGTTTTTCAAATTCATCAGTATCACAATATGGTAAACTATTGAAATATAAAATCTAATGGAAAGGTTAGACGGATTTATCAGAGATTTTTTTAATATATTAAAAAATAAAACAATACAATTATTTATGAATGAAACTTTGTCATGGCATTTCTTTACTGATCTAGAGTCATATAAATTATAAACAGTATCTAAATGCCAAGAAGCCATATTTCACTTAATCATTTACTTAACATTATATTTAATGTTCTTCAGTTTTACAAGGGAACTGGTGTAAATGCACTGATGTACTTTTTATCAGTAAATGCTACTAAGCACACAACTCAGTTTTTTTTCCTTTGAAAAATGACAAATTAAAATATATTACAGTAGTCACCACATACTCTGAAAATCAAACAATGATTACATCACATTTCAAAATAATTCATAACTACTAAGCCTTAATTGAAAAGATTTCAGTTGAATTCTCAATAATATACAAAATTGAAGGAAAAGAATCATACTAATTATTTCAAAAATTATAATCTGTAAGGGAGAATTTTAAATAGCAGGAGTCTGTAGCAAAGAGAAAGAATAATGCAATCAAAAACTCAATAATAATGTCATAAAATGGATAAAATGAAAAGTTCCTTTTCCAATGAATGTAATTTAAAAAATAGGAAAGTTTGATTGCCTTCCAATAATTAAAAAGTGGTCATTTCTCGAATAATTTGTTGTCAAAAAGTAAAACCTTTATGAATAACATTCTTGAAGTCTCGAACTTTTTTGCCAAGATTTCAACATCAAGGAGGGGAAGGTAAGGTCAATTAAAGTTTCTAGCACATTGCACAAAAATCAAGGAAAAGAAAGATAGGACAATTATGTGAAACATTAAGTTTTAATAAATTAGTGGCGAAGAATGCTACTATAAATTTAAAATCCACTTATTCATCACTATAAACATATATTATCACTAATTATAAGTCAACATAAAAAAAACCATCCTTTTTTTATTATGATAAATTAGAAATTTTAAATTGGGCAAAAGATAGTAAAATAAGAAAATTTCTAGTCAATTTAAATAACTGAAAATGTAGTGAATTTCAAAAACTGATATCAAAGGGATTGGGAAAGGGCAACACTATGTCGGTATGATAAATAAATTATAAGTTTAAATAAAATAACCATAAACAATTATTTTTTAGCTAAATTATTACTAGTTAGGAAACTTGAAATCATTTTAAATAATACAGTATTTATAATCCTTATAAGCATAATACTGACATAAGATCATAGTTCACAATGGACATTGGGCAGTTAAAATGAGACTATAATGTTTTCTTAACATTTGAATGGATTTTAAATTATTTTTTAGATGATCCTCAGGTAATTAATGAAATAATACTAAATAATTTGTTAATGTAATACATAATATAGGGTTTAAAACAATGTGATTCCCTTTCGTCTGTCCTGTTCAATTTGGCATTAGAACATGCCATTAGGGAGGTAAAGTGTACCGAAAAAGGGTTGCATCTGGGTAGGACAACCATGCTTGGCTATGCGGATGATCTGGTCCTGTTAAACGAAGACACGGAAACCATGAAAACTAAATACGAAAACGTTAATGAAAGCTGGTAATGAACTAGGGCTCGAAATAAACACGAATAAGACAAAATATACGATTAGCAGCAAAAATGGCAATATTGCTGGTGATATAAATATAGAAAATAATATGTTTGAGCAGATGAAGAAGTTTAGGTATCTAGGGTCTACGATAACTAGAAATAACGAAATTGAAGAGAAGATTAAGGTTAGGCTGAAGGAAGGAAATGCTTTTTATTTTTCTGTGATAAAACTACTTAACCGCGTAGTTCTTGTCCCAGAACTTAAAAACTAGAATCTATAAAACCATTATCATACCTACAGTTCTTTATGGATGTGAAACGTGGCCGCTTACATTAAAGTATGAGCAACGTCTTAAGGTTTTTGAGAATAAAGTATTGCGTAGACTATTTGGGCCAAGGAAGGATGAGTTGTTTGATTCATGGAGTTCCAAAAGTGCCCTGCCCACAGCAAGTGAGTTCCCAGATCTCCTTATCCCTACCAACGCCTGCTGTCTCCTCCATATGGTGCCCCCCAGAGAGTCTGATGAGACTCACAAATGGCAGAGGTGGCTTCCATCGCTTCTATCCTGGTGATAGTTGTGATGGTGATGTTAGGCACCCAAGCTAGGTTCAGGAGTTCGAGCTGTGGATAAATGGCAGAGTGCAGGTAAAAGTACAATGTCTCTTATCAACCCCCTTGGGGCACCAAGCGTAGTAGTACCTGCAGTCTATTTGAACCCCATACTCGTAGGAACAAAATGTCTGAAGATTTAAAAAATTAAAACATAAATTAACTCGCCGGTATTCAAAGAAGATTTGTTTTCATCGGAGCATTCAAATATTTCAGAGGTATTCTCTGAAACCTAGGATGAATCTCTAGTAGGTATCTTACTAAAGACCCTGTACTAATCTTACTAAAGAACAGTTCTTATTCTCAACCGAATGAACTAATCTTCCAAACAGATAACAACAGTTTTTTTTTTAGCTAATCTGTTCGTCACTAGTCGAGTTGCTGTTTATTCTGTTTTAAGTTTCTTTTTTAAAACGAAACGATAACTTATTATACAAACCGTTTTCCAATAAACGCATCAGTCCATCACAAAATTAATACAAAAAAAAATACAAACGTATAAAGTACAAGGAGTGATGTGTGGAATTATTTCACCAAGACAGACAATGAAAAAGCCTCATGTAATATGTGCAAACAATTGGTGTCTTATGAAACCACCATCTCCAATTTGAAGGAAGATATTAAAAGAAAGCATGTTGCTGAATTTGTGGCCATGACATCAATTAATTTCTCACAAGAGACAAAAACAGTAATTGAGAATGAAGAAGTTAACAATAATGAAAATGAAGAAAGAGTTCAAGATACAAATCCACCTGAAGTCTTCTATTCACCAAGCACTTCTACAAATTTTAGCCAGGTACCTAGGAAACGTCAAAAACTAATGGGTTCCTATACATATTCCACTAAAAAAATTATGGTGGATCAAAAAAAAAATTGATGGAGAGCTTCTTGATCTCTTCATTAAGGATTTTCAACCCTTTAGCCTGTTCTGGAGAACAGAAATTTCCTCGGTTATGATTCCTTCGCTTTATCATAAACATCTGAGTTTATTGAAAGATAATTTGCAACAAGAAGCAGAAACAATCTGTATTACTACTGATTGTTGGACCTCCTCCATAATGGAAAGTTATATGGCTGTAACTGCTCATTATATAACAGACAATTTTACTTAAAGTGTTCCAGATTTTCAGAGACACACAGCTGTTAATCTGGCATCAGCATTGAAAGAAGTAACAGCAGAATGGAACATTGAAAACAAGGTATTTTTAAATTCATTTTATTTTATTTAACATTTGTAGTGTAATAACACCTTACTTGATTCTGTTATATCCATTTTGAACAGAGCTCAGTAATCGTCTTAAAACGATGCTTAAAAGGAGCTTGCCTCAAATAAGAAAACAAATATCAACAAAGCCTTATGGCTTTTAATGTTCTAAGATCATCAAAAAAGAATTAGATGAAAGGTTCACAGACATTAAATATAGCACCACATTTTCTTTATGCACTTTGTTAGACCCTAGATATAAACACTATGTTTATGAAGATCAAAAAGCAATAGAAATGTGTAAGAAGACGGTTCATAATTTGGTCCTGAAAAATATAAAGAAAAAAAGAAAAGTTCGATGAACCATCATCACCTGCTCAGAGTGAAGCAGTATCATTACCAAGTACAAGCGCTTGGTGTGTTTTGGATGATATTATGGTAGATGTGCGGCCTCAAACAACTGCAGTGTCTAGAGCAATTGTCGAGATAGACATATATTTTAAAGATGACGTTTTGCCTCGTCTAAATAATTGTGGACAACAAACGTGTCCATTAGAATGGTGGATAAGAAATCAACATATTTATCCAAATTTGGCCGCCATTGTTCGGAACAAATGTAGTACAGTGGCCACATCAGTTCCCTGTGAATGCATTTTTTCTAAAGTAGGGAATTTGATAAGTGAAAGAACTGTTGTTTTTCGTCAGCGAATAGTTTATTTACGTTTTATAAAAGAAGCTGAAATGCCCACCTCTGGGAACCTCAGCACTACTTGCAAAAATGCAAAAAAACTGAGCGATGCTGAATGACCAAAAAGTTATACCAAAGTCACAAGGGGTCAGCTGGTTGCAGTAGTGCCTAGCAACTACTAACAAATCCAACAAGGTTATGACCAGTGTGAAATATTAAAAGAAGCCGTTGCCAGCAAGATAGATGAATTACAGATTGGAGGGAAAATTCACCTTAAGTTAGACGGATTAATCTTTAAACTGGGTGGATGCTTGGACAACCTTTAAAGAAATCACACCTAGCATTTCTATTGAAGAGGGTCTAACTCTCTGAGTTTGCGATGCTAGTGGTTTTACTAAAATCACCGGGATTGGGGCCTTCTTACCTGGGAAGGCACAGCCTGATAATTACTACTTAAAGCGGTTCCAGATCCACAATCAGTCAATTACAGGAATTGACAACTGGACAGTTTTACATTTCAAGGCCTTGGAGAGAGGTTCTTTCGCTGTCTTCAATGTCCTGGAGATTAGTCCTCAGAGCCTCACATCACACGGGATGCTGGCTTGCTGTGGTATCTATGTTATCACATTTAGACACCAGACAGCGAGCATCAAGCCTGCCCCAGAAGAGCCCTGGAAGGAAGTAACACGAGCTGGAACTTCAAAAGAGAGGGAATCTAAGGATTCTCCCTCTGCTAAAAGGAGTGCATCAGAGTTAAGATCAAGGCTGTCAGCCGTGTCACAAGAGGCGGGACCAAGCGAAAGGAGTCAGTGAAAACTGGCTCTGGAAGCGACTCTCTACCACTCTCAAGGGTTGAATTCTAACGTTTACACACAAATTATTTTCAATTTTAAGTATCTTATAATTTTGTTAGTTTTAAAAATTTGTAGCTATACTTTTAGCATATATATTTTTCAAATCTTTCATTTGTTTAATTCATTAAACTCCTTCCGTATAAATACAATACATTTTAGTACATTCCTTGATATTGGTTCATTTTTTTTTCCATAACTTTTTTGTTTTTTAAATTGCAGTATGTACGATAAAGAGAAACTGCATGAAGTTATAACTAATGGCGAATATAAATCAGTAGATAATAACGGTTTCCAGATCTTCCTTGAAGATATATATGTTATCCTAAAAAATGATAGAAACGTAATGTACAGCACAGCATTAAAAGTGTTTAATAAAGATTAAAAGGATTTTTTTCATAATTATGATTCTGAGGACAACGCCATTAATAAAACTGATTTAAATAATAAGTCACCTTCTAAATCGTTAACAAAATTTAACTTCAAAGTTCAAAAAAAAAAAAAAAAAAAATAGACCCAAATAAAATCCAAGGAACAAACATACAAACGCAACAAACAGAAATGTTTATCTTTAAAATCATGCAAATGGACAAATATTTTGGCTCATAAAATATGCCAACAACGAAAATTACTGTGGGCATTTACATTTAAACGCTTTAAAATTTTTGCAAGCACCGATGCCAAGCGTTATGCTAGTTTTAAAGAGATGTGCAAAGAATATAACTCGCAGCTTATAGGCGTTTTGTTTAATAAGCCTATGAAAAAAAATAATGAAGAATTTTAATGCAGTCTTATCGGCTTCTCGACGGAAGTTTTATACACACAAAAAAAAAAGAAATTTAAAAGGATTTATGCATGAAAAAAATTCGAATAAATTGCTGGACGGACATCAAAATGCCAGTGTTTTCCACACCCATGACTGATGACATTTGGTCATAATATTCCCCCAATTTTATACAACAGCACAGTTTTGCGACAGGCAAAACGAGAGCAATAAATATTTTTTTTTACTTTGGCATGAATGCACTGCAGCCATGAAGGCCTATTGTACACAAGAGGAATTAGATAAATGTCTGCAATTATTTACCGGCAATCCTTCACATATTATGTACATTTCCCAATGCACTAAGTTGTTAGACATCATCCATAATATAAGATTAACCCCAATTTATATCATGTTAATTATATAATGTTAATTATATAATGTTAATTTATATCATATTATTTATATATTACAAAACTTAGCAATTTTTCTGCCTTCTAGATGATCTCGGCCAAGCAAAAAGCATCTACAAACAGTTATTTTCTCTCCAGAATTTTAAAAAACGGTGCACCAATACCTCGGGTAGTAATGATACATTATGGGAAGGTAATCCTTATTGCAAGGGGCCCAAATGGGGAAGTTAAGGAATATGGGACACAAGTGGCCACATAGCCTGCTCTTCTCAACTCTTGACAGAGCGGCCTGGGGGTAACATGGGTCCCGGCCTGTCAGGATGGGGGGATGTTGGCAGCAGGGCATCTCCTTTCAAACAAAGGAAGTGCCTCCAGGGAAACCTGTACTATGGGACTGAGTGCTAACTGCGAGGGTGGACGTGACTCTACAGTCGTAGTGAAGACAGCCGTCTACGGGAAGAGGGTCCAGATTGGCCCAGACAGAAAATCCTACTGGTCCTCCAGGTTGGCAGTTGGGCATCGGGCTAACGACCCAGTCCCGGAAAGAACTAAATTGTTACAAATAATCAACAGAAACATAGCCGGACTGATCTATTGGTACGCCCCAAGCGTGGACTAGGAAAATCCTTAACTTTGGCGACATGGAATGTGAGGAGTCTCTTCCAGGTTGGAGCGAGTCGTATTGTATGGGCGACCTGGAGGAGCAAGAAGGAGAGGAAGGCAACCACTCCGTTGGTTGGAGGATGTTAAGGCGGATTTGAGACAGCTTGGTGTCAGGCGATGGAGGGCTGTCGCATTGGACCGAGACGAGTGGCGACGTATTGTTGAGAAGGGCAAGGTCCCACGCGGACTATGGCGCCAAGAAGTAAGTAAGTAAGTAATCCTTATTGCAATCACTCGTATAAGGTTCATGTTGGCCAAGTTACGCAATGATATATGAGACTGGACATTTCATATGTATGGTGACAAAATGGGACAGTTTATGAAGAAGAGCAGCTTAAGTCTACCAATTTGTTTTAAGATGTTTAGGATTGGCACATTATCAAATGGATGATTTTATTGAGGTGTGTAATTTCTTAAAATCGCTGTTAGTGGTTACCCTAAGCCAGATGTTTCCAAACTACGGCCCATGGGCTGCTTCTGGCCCATGAAGGTTTCTTTGATTACATGGTAAAAATAAAAAAAAATCAGAAAAATGTGAAATATAGCAAATCACTCACACAAGAGGTTATTACAACATTTATTGCATCTTCTTTTTCTATCTTAGGAAGCTTATTTCACAACTGAAAAGTCATTTAAAGAACAAGATTTTTTTTAAAGTCCTACGGGCTTAGTGGAGGTCTCAATGTGGCCCGTGGGCCAAAAAGGTTTGAGATTCCTGTTCTGATAAAAGAAGGTATAAAGCGATAAAATAGGGGTAGACAAATATAAAAAATTATTATTATTGGAAACTCAATTCAGAAAAGTTAATAACGTAACTAAAGGCATTAACATTACCGATGATTTTGAAATAGACAGGTTGATAAATATCACATACTTTTTTCAGACATCATACATAAATTAAAAAATTTGTATGCGGACATAATGAAAGGAAATGTATGAACAAGTAGAAAAAGGGATGTTTTATAAATCTCCCTGTTCATTGGTAACAATAGAATGCTGGTTTGGTAATAGTGAAGCTCCTAGAATATGGATAAGAACAATAAGCAGATTGATCATGCTATTTCAGGCACATACCTAAACAGGATTAAGAAAAAATACAGATTATTATGAATTGTGTGATGTTAAGGATGACACGAAACATACACATGCGTTAAATATGTTGCAAAGAGATACCATTTCATCAATAAAATAAAAACTCTACTAAATAAAGACAGTCCATCTTATATTGATACAATGAAAAATTCTAATTTGGCCCTGGAAGCATTATGCCACTTTAAAATCCACAGGAATTAAATTATAAAAAATAAAGCTGATCATTCTAATGATCTGATTATAAGAATGAAAACAATTATATTGAAGAAGAAATTTTGTAGAAAGTTGGACATGGGCCAAAAATTTATTTCCTGAGTCTCTAGAAATTGCATGAAAATCCCAAAACAGTTATCTTCTTATTTTTCTTTTTTTATTAGGAAGCTTACGTTTATAATTTGTTCATATTTTAGGCAATAAAACTTCCAATTTTCTTCATATTTTTTTATTTATGCTTGTTCACTCTTACGTTTCGGGACAATTTTCCCATCATCAGAGTAATATTTTTATTTTTACTGAAATTATGTACATTTTCTATATTAATTTTTATTTAACAATATCATTCCAATTTATATATTTTACAATTATTTACCATTCTTTTTTTTTTTGATGTGGCACCATTTGTCAAAAATTAAATATTTGTCACATTTTTTAAAAATTATTGGGTGTTACACATATTCACTGATACACTAATCAACATTTGGCTATTTTTAGTTTTATTTCTGTACTTTGTACCCATCCTCTTATTTCTTATTATGGTCGTTTGATATGTTTTTTTTTTAAACAGTAGTATTGAGAATGCTTATAACAATCCTGAAGCTGCTAGAAAAATAACAAATCTTATGTTTTATTTACCATTATGAACGGGTGTAAAGAAAATGCATTTTAAACATAGTTCAATAATTCAACATAACTGAAAAACAAAATAATATTATAGACGATAAAAATAAAAGTTTAAAAGATAAACAAGAAAATATAAAAGATGTTCCTCAAGATACATTAAATAAAATAGAAGTTTGAGATTAAAAACGTAAAATTAGTAGTTCTAGAAATCAAAACTTGATTTCATTATTAAAATTGGTTCATTTCATCATTTCCATGATAATATGATCATTAAAATTAGAATACTACCAATGACAGATTGGGATTTAATGACTACTAACAAGGCAATCGGCATTCATGTTCTTAAAACCGGCAACATATGTAACGCCACTTCGATAGACGCACCATATATTATAATGTGGGAAACTTGTGCATTTGACTCAATTTTTCAAGTGGTGGCAAATGGTATTAATATGCGCGTTGGCTATAAAACAAATATGATGGCGTTAATTCCATGCTGTTACAGATGTATTAAAAATGTAAATTGTAGTACACGAGCAAATAACTTATGCGATATTGCCTATATTCAAGAAAAAAGTATGTTCTCCAAATATTTCCTCCTTAAATACAAATTGAAACACTGCAAATCTTTCTGACTATATTTTCAAAAATATCCATAGTTCCACAACAATATATATAACTGTGATAATTGCGGCCACAACTACAGAAAAATATGATAAAATGTTGATATGTCATTAAAAAGTGGATTAAATTATAAACAGCAATCAATAAACAATATTAATACAAAAAAAAAAATCACGGTGCAATAGTTGCAAACATAGTGTTACTCCATTTGTTCGATATGGATCACATTTAATTATAGATAAAAGTATTTTCAGTGATAATAATTAAATGGTCCCTCAAAGCATAAAAATTATAATAAATAATTGAAGCTTGGACAACGTCTCTAAACTGTTGCTGCAAACATTATACTCTGGCAGGTATACTTTCGTATATCAAATATGAAAGAAACTGGAAATTAGATTGCATTCGTGTATACTGCAAGTCATTGGTACAAATAAGATTATTTAGTGTTAAAGAAGCCTATAGCAAGCGGAAAAGAAGAAATATATTCCCATTGAATAATTATTTATATAAAGTATAATTATATGGAGTTCATATAATTAGCAGAGGTTTCATTGCCGAAAGGGATAAATTCTGTTTACCAATTTGTTACCGTCAAAAGTTAAGAAATTGTTATTCAAAATAAAAGAAATATATATTTTTACAAGATATTCATAGAAAAATTGTAAAATTAAATTAAAAATATTAAACATAAAAAACACACATTTTTGCCATATGCGTATCAATATGGATTGTTTGAGGACTGCCGGAACTATAAACAAACTTATGGATTACTGAGAAGAATTTTTAGCACTATAAACTAAAAAAAATCTTTTCTCTGTGAATCCGCCGCCACAAAAATTCGCACAAATATGAATCGAGGTGTTGTCTGGCAGTTCCTCTATGTACTTCATTTCTCCACTTAGCTGAGCCCCACAATCGTTCTATGTGTTGAGTATGAACCCCAGTTGATGGATCGACAAAATTATACCAGTGATTCACTTGGAAATGGTCATAGTTTGCTTCGTTCAGTTGTCGGGTGTTGTATCCTTTCCAACAGTCCGAATAAATGGTCCTTCCCTCTTCTATATTTTCTTTAATGGCTTGTAATAATGTTGTTGCCTTTCTGTCAATTATTTTGACAATAAAACATTCATCTGTTTCTCGGCAAACTCCACCAAACATCCACTGCTGAGGTAAAACTCTCCCCACACGATTTTTTCGTTTAGAAAAAAGACTTTCGTCTACTTCAACTACTTTGCCAGGTCCTCCAATTTTTTTTCTTGGCCTGTATAACATGTCATGGGCACAAACCTTTCTTAGACATTTGTTCTACGTTACCATAGCTCGGTAGGATAGTTTCAGCTGCTCTTTGCCCCACTTCATCGTTGTCAAGCTATGGGACCACCCATGAATCAATTTTAAAGCTGTTAAAAACGAAATCCTCGAGCCCTCCAACCATGTTCCTTTCCTTATTGAAAGTTTTGTGTCACAAGTCTTACGAAAGCAACTCCATTTGGCCTTCTTGGTTAACTTCATTCGATGACCTCGTTCACACAATTTCACGTCGGCAAGTACCCCAACATTTTGAAAATACTGAATTGCCTGTTCTTCTGAAGAAGTGAACGTAATAAGGGTATAACTGAAAACTAAACAATGCAATAACTCAAAAGTTTGGCGGGATAAGAAGAGGGAGGTTATGTGACATGATGACATGACGTTAGATAAGATAGATAAGAAGTGAGGTTTCAAAACGGCCGCTTAGACTAAAAGTACCAAACAAATAATTGTCGAGGACTGATTATTGAAAACTGCCATCATAGGTTGGACCTAATGAGCAATGTCATTAGTTGGTATTATCAATGAAGAAAACATTTGATAACTATCTCTCAGACGATACATACCGTACTGTGTGCAAGTGCTTGGTTAAACAAGTGATATCTACAAATCAGTTATTCAGATAACTAAGGTAAATTATCTATTTCATAAATTTTCTTGAATTTAGCAAACATAGGCCAGCCAAATTAGACATGTTACCTTGCAAAAGGTAGATTAATTCAAGTATCTTTTTTATACTGTTAAGTGTGTATTGAATATGAAAAATTTAAGTTTTCAACACTGAAAGTCATGTGGGTTCGCCACAGTGTTTCGAAAACCATAGAAATTTTGATTTATTTTTTTGTTTACACTAAATATCAACTTTTTAAAGTAACCACTTTTTAAACTAAAAAATGATTACATCCAATCTTAAACAGCATAAAATTATTCTATAAAAGCAGTATTAAATTTTGTTTTCAACATTTGAGCTCAGTCACCTAGAAAAACAGGTAATTAACTAAAAAAAAATATGCATGTTTTTTTTTTTTTTAATTTTCAAAACTTGACTCATTTTCAAGCTTGATAATTCGCTTCCTGTTGTGTTTAGAAAAAAATGTTTCACACGACAATGTTAGATAATTTTAAACTATTTAAGATTGAATATAACCATTTTTTTAGCTATATCACTTTTGAAAGGAGATATTTGGAGTAAACAAAAAAAAACATCCGAAATTTAAATGGTTTTCTACAAGGCTTAAAGGATTTTTACTTTCACTTACCTATATATGAAATATTTAGTCAGGTAAAGTATTGCGATTATAAAAATTTTCAACTCCGAGTTTTCCCTGAGTCCAAATAATCAAGGCTTGCAAAATGGGGTATGTCAGTGTGTATGTGAACAGTCTAGCTCAAAAACGAAAAGTCGTATTTAGTGTAACTCATATTTTATATTAGCCGATCATATAGTACCAGAAAATAATAATTTGAAGTTCTTTAAAGCCGAAGGCTCTACGTTAGGACAAATTAATAAATTTTGGTTAGAACAATCCTGAAAGGGAAATTGATTATATCTATTAGAATTTCCATATCTATATCTGGATCTATAACAGGGGCACTGCTCACCACCGCATCCAACCACAGAACATAATTCGCAAAGGTCACTCCAATCGTCCTGTGTTCCTTCTCAAAGAGTGGTACGACAATACCAGCTCCCATCCAGCTCTTTAAGCCAAAGGGTGGACTACGACAGAGAGTCCACCCTACTTAGGTCGACCAAAACAGAACAAGGAGGATGCATAGCCAATCTCCTCTCCAGGTAGAATTTCAAAACAAGAAGCCGACAAAATAGAAAGGCCAAGTTAGAAAAGAAAGAAACAAACTTCTCCAGAACTCCCTTAGAACAGATACGGGAGGGGGAAGAAGAGGCTTATCCTTCTAGTACTTCTTATCGGGCTAGACAGGTATGGGCATCCTGTTGAAGCGCCAACCCCACCATAAAGTATACCAAAAGAGAGAGGCTGATCGAGGAGTCCCCACCAACAGACACTGTGACATGAAAAGATCTAAGCAGTCGCCTAATCGCCTAGAATATCTCAGTTGGGTCAGTGGAATACCAGGGACGCTGCAGCTGGGAGGGTCTTGGAAGTGGTTATAATGAGGAGCCAGGATGGTGAGCCTATCTCACAGGATGAGATGCAACTCATACACAGACTCCTCATAGTTGAAATTGCCCTTAAATGTAATGAGCCACACCCTTGAAGGAGACTTCTGGAAGTTGGTTCCTCCTTACCTGCATAAATGAGGAGACTAGAGACTGGTTCCTCCCACTGCTTTTGTGGTGAGGTGGTCCGCCAAGGCTCCCTGACCCAGTAAAATTGTTATTGGACAGAGAGCTGAGGCGATCGATCCCAGCATGCATTTAAGAAGTTTGAATTATCAGAACTAGGACCTGGTGGGCATCTCGTGATGGCAGTTCTTAGAAACTGAAGGCGACCTAGGACACCTGAGAGCGGTGTTTAGGGTGCCAGGTACCTCGATCATATGATTTGAAGCTCATGAGTGGTAAATTAACTTCGAGCTTGTTAGATTGACAGTTTGGAGAGTGCCACCAACAGCTTCTAGATCCAGCAATCCCTCACAAGAGGACACCATGAGGAGCAGGTACCATTACGCTCCTGCACTTTCAACCCCCCTTATCAGCAATGGGGTCCACTGTGATTAAGGAAAGACAAACAAATATATAACATAATAAATTGGTCATGGACTAATTAGCTAAGCTTCTTTCGGGGACGAAATCCACCTCATTTTAACACAAGAACCTTATTGTATTAGGGGACTGATTAAAGATTCAGGAGGAACAGCAGGAAGAATTATCTGACCACCCCTATTGAAGACAAACCTAGGGCGTGCATATGGGCCCCCAAACATTGGTACATACTGCAATTCCCTCAGGTGATGTGGCCTTGAACCTCAATATCAAGGTAGGCATTGATAAGATTAAAATAATTGGAACCATTCATGTTTCTCATAATTTAGACGCTACATATCAATATATTGACAGACTTTTTAATTTAGCAAAACAAGAATACCTACCACTCTTAACCCTTTCGCTGCTACGAACTTATATATCAGTCTGGTGGTTGCAGTGCCCGGTGTGCTACTAGCTGATATATCAGTTCGGCTTTTTTTGCAATTCGCTGGTTCTCGCTATTATATCAGTTCTGGGACGCCATCTTGGGCCTTGCTCACGTCAAGTTCATTGTTTATGTGCGCGCTGAGTCTCGTCTATAGAAACTGTGCTAAGTGTTTTTATTTTCGTTAAAAACGTAAAATACAACCTAGTGTTATTTATAGAACAATTCCAAACAGCATAATATAGTTTTTCTTGTCGAAAAATGGTCGAGACGTCGACCACAGAGCAGCAGTCACCGGCTAGTGATATGGAAGCTTCAGATAACAAAGAAAATGCTACTGTCAACAACTAGGAGCTTGTAATAGGTTGAAAGCACCAGTCAACGTCGGTGAACAATTCAAATACAGCCAAAAAAACATATATTAGTGTTCAAACGCGCAACCGGTTTGAAGTTCTAACCCAACCAAATGATGAGGCACAAAAAAGTCAATAGTCAGCCCAATAGGTAAGACCACCGCCTATTTATATAGAGGGAGTCTCAAATTACACAGCCCTAGTATCTTGTCTGCAGAATGAAGCTGGACACAATTCTTTCAAACTAAAAAACAACATCAGGGGTGTAACAATTCTACCAGAAACATCTGATGTATATAGAAAACTGGAATCCAGCTTGAAGAGCAATGGAGCTGAATTTCACACTTATCAGCTGCTTGAAGACAAAATGTCCAGAGTGGTAATAAAAGGGGGTACTTTTTGTCTAAGCGGCCGTTTTGAAACCTCACTTCTTATCTATCTTATCTAACGTCATGTCATCATGTCACATAACCTCCCTCTTCTTATCCCGCCAAACTTTTGAGTTATTGCATTGTTTAGTTTTCAGTTATTCCCTTATTACGTTCACTTAATAAATTGTTTACTTTTGGCCCGTTTGTGTTTATTTTTAGTTTTTAGCCCGTTTGTGTTTATTTTTCATTTTTTTTTTCGTTTATTTTCGTCATATTATAGATCTTCTTAGAATATGGGATTTACCGTCTTCAGAAGAACAGGCAATTCAGTATTCAGCAAACTATGACCATTTCCAAGTGAATCACCGGTATAATTTTGTCGATCCATCAACTGGGGTTCATACTCAACACATAGAACGATTGTGGGGCTCAGCTAAGTGGAGAAATAAAGTACATAGACGAACTGCCAGACAACACCTCGATTAATATTTGTTCGAATTTTTGTGGCGGCGGGTTCACAGAGAAGAGGAACCGTTCCTCGCTATTTTAAGTAGCATAAAACAATTTTGCCTTCCGAAATAAATAAGACAAAATGAAGTGAATAATTAACTTAAAATAATTTGTATATACGTTGTTTATAGTGTTGATATTTTTTCTTTTCTATGTAAATATGTTATTTTAAATTTGTTTTTTTTTATTTCATTTTGATAGTTTATATGTACATATCTTCTTAAAGTGTTTTTTTATTATTTCATTAATATATTTGTCGTCAAATAAAAGTATTTTTGTTGTTATTACATTTGTTTTTTGTATCTGTTTACACTTTCAATAATAGGAATTTAATACAATAATACGAAGATGTGAAGTAGGAGAAGGCTTATCACTGCGTTATGGGAGTTATCAGTGTTAAGGTTATAAACATTGGCAGATAGCAGTCAGTAGCGGCCGCTTAGACTAAAAGTACCTAAAAGGGATACATCACGCCACACCATCCTCAATTTTCAAAGAGGAATTATCAATAAATGGTTATGAAGGATGCAATATCACTAATGTCCACTCAAGGTTCAAAAAACTTTACCTATGTTCTTCGTAGATATTTCTAAGGAGACATATAATGATAATATCTTCAAGAGGGATTTCTTGTACTATACAAGAATAAAAATTGAAGAACCAAGGAAAAAAAGAATCATTCCCCAGTGCACGAGGTGTCAGAAATATGGACACACCAAAACATACTGTAATCATGCACCGAAGTATGTGAAATGTGGCTTGGGACACGTAAGTGCCTCCTGCAAAAAAAGCAGAGAAACCTCAGCAAAATGTGCCAACTGTCAGGGGGAGCATGCTGCCAACTACAGAGGTTGCCAAACTCTGAAAGACCTGAGGGATCAGAAAAAGCACTGGACTCAACAGAGGGCAGCATCCATCCAGCAAGTCGCACCACCAGATATTCAGGAGTTCCCACCACTACCTCAGCCAGCTCTGTCTCCGCAATCACTCAGACCTGAAGTAGGAGCACAGCCTCAACACTTTTCAGAGATGCCAGCACCACTTCAGCAGTCGAAGTCTCAACTTCCAAAGCCCACCACAGTACCTCAACCGAGACAGACATCAGCTACACAGAGGCATTCAGGTATGAGGAAGGGTATTGCGCAGTCGGCACCCAAAACCGAAAATGATCTTTCTCAAATAATAAAAACCTAAATAATCTTATCCAACCCCTTTACAGTCTTCTGCAACAAATCTCACAGATGACTCAGGTCTTATTCATCCAGTATGCCCCTTAATCCTCTCATTGTAGGCTCCCTGTTCATCATTCTGTGGATCGCTAACGGTCTGACAACATAAAACTGAAATTGACTTATATCTACATAAGAAACGAATTGACATCGCTCTTTTCACTGAAACTCACTTGACACCAAGAACCAAATTTTACATCTCAGGCTACAAAACTTACAGAACAGACCATCCAGACAGCAAGGCTCATGGTGGCACTGCAATACTAATAAAATCCACAATAAAACATAATCCACTACAATTACCACTAACACCTGACACCCAAGCCAGAGGCTTAGCAATGTATACTAAACACAACACTATCACCTTTGCTTCAATTTACTGTCCCCCTAGGTATGTTCTGACACCTGCTGTTAAGGCCACTCACCGTAGCCCTTAATTTAAGTGCATCAAATAGCGCACACCAGTGGCCTATAGTGGCTTAATAATACAGTGCGGTCATACGGAGAGGACGGCCATATTGGATCGGCGGGAAACTAATATTTGAATAGTCTGTCTTTGTTATTTCAATTTAACAAGTAATTATTGCAACAAATTATTTACTAGAATGGTTTGGGAGATAGAATTGAAGTTGAAGAATCTGTATGAAGCATATGAATCACTTATATCTCGCGAAAATAAATAATAAAATCAAAGAACAATATTTGTTTTTTTTTCTGTTTAATTTCTTTTAAAATATATTCCAATAAACTTAGGCATATTAAGATTTCCATTGTATTCATCTTACTCTCTCACTGACAAATTTCACAAACAAATTTATTTAATTATTAAAACATTAAACAAAAACTGAGTGAAAATTATACAAATTATTTAATGCAAATTTAGTAATTATAAATTATTTAATGCAAATTTAATAAATATAAATTATTTAATGTAAATTTAATAAAAATAAATTACTTATGTAAATTTAATAAATATAATTTATTAATTGCTTATGACTGAATACCACAACTAGTGTTGCCCAAATGCGAGACCATGAGGTGTCTTGGTCTTGTGCAAGTCTCGCAACAGTCTTCCAGTTACCTATCAGCTTCTTATTATAGATATATTACTGTAATTTGTCAGACATGGAAATCTAAGCCCAAATGAAAAATTGAGAGTTAAATTCCAAAGGATATTGGTTACACTAATTCCTTACATATGGTAACTAAATTTTTCAAGTTTTACTATTACAACTATTTCAAGGTTGACTATTTTAACTTAATTTTTATTCATAAAAAGGATTTTTTTATCAATCTTGGTCTTGGTCTTACAAGTTAGGCAGGTCTTGATTTTGCAAAGTATATCACCAAGACTGATTTTGGACAACACTAACTATTATAAATCCACTATAATTAAAATTTTAAATAGTTCAAAATTTGATCCTCGATGTATATCTGATCATTGATATAAAATATTTTTTATGAAATGGTTTACCTCTTACCATAATGTAGATATTTTATATTGCATCTCTTATTTTATTTATTTTTCATTACTTTTTTGGGAAATTAGAGATTGTTGGCTATAATATATTTTCAATTTTATCACACAGCATATACCAAGTAAAAATAACTAATAGTGAAACATAAAACTGTAAGGATAAAATACAATAAATTATCAATTGATTGAAGAACTATCCAATTTAACTTGAAAAAGAAAACATTTTTAATCAACAAAGGAATATAAAAAAAAAAGATGAAACAGAATATTTATTCACAAAGAAATTTAAATTTATAAATGCTGCACATATACATTTACATATTTACTGCTAAAAACAGACATATGAGGGAAATTCTTTTTACTTATTGAATTTATCCTAAGTCTAAATACAATAAACCTCTTAAGAATACTATATTTAATATTGTGACAATTAAATATGTGTTCTTCATCAACAGAACTCATTTTTCTCTATGAAAAATCCTCTTAAATCACCTCTAACTGAGTTGATTTGGCTCATATAGGTTTCGAAATTGACTTAATCCTTTAATTTGTTACTTTATTTTATTAATTTTCCTTTGTAATTTAGTGGTTATGAGAGAAAAAGATTGAAATTAAGTTTGAAACTTGATTATAGAAGATATTTTTATAGTTTGGGGCTATTAGCTGATACAATTTGTATTTTGAAGTCAGTGGTTTCAAGTATAATATTGAAATTTGGTTTTCATTTATAGTTATTGTTACTTTCAATATTAAAATATGAGTGTAGTTGATGATCCTTAAATCATAGTTTAATTGAGTATAGTTTATGATCCTTAAATGATAATCTTGACCTTAAATGATACTCATATTTTAATGATGAAAGTAACAATAACTATAAAGGAAAACAAAATTTCAATTTTATACTGGAAACTAATAACTTCAAGATAAAAATTGTGTTAGCTAATAGCCTCGAACTATAGACACTGTCTTCATACAACCAAGTTTCAAACTTGTTTTTCATCTTTTTCTTTCATTACCACTGAATTAAAAAGGAAAATTAATAAAATAAAGTAAAAAATTAAAGTATACTCACAATTTTAAGTCTACGAAGAAGAAACCAAACTTGTCACTTTAACTTTGAACATTAATACATATAGCTATTGAATAAAAAATACCTATTAATAAACTAAATCTATTACTAAAACAACACAATTAAACTTTCAAACAAAATATCACTAATAAAATATGAGTCTGTGAAGATGAAACCTATCACTGAACATGAATAGGTTAACTATCACTTTAAACACTAAAACGTACAACTATTCAATAAAAACTACCTATTAGTAAACTAAATTTATTACTAAAACAACACAATTAAACTTTTAAATAAAATATCACTAATAAAATAAGTCTGTAAAGATGAAACCTATCACTGAACAAGAAACCAAAACAATCACTGAAAACACTAAAACGTACAACTATTCAATAAAAACTAGCTATTAATAAACCAAACCTATCACTTTAACAACAAAATTAAGCTTCTGAACTAAAATACTGCTAATAAAATATGAAATTTTAACAGTTTTGAGGTGCCTAAAGAGCAAGCAGATAGCAAGTGACGATCCAAGATGGCCAAACAATCAGAAATCGAATCCATATGACCGCACTGTATTATTAAGCCACTGTACAGTGGCCATTATGACAGTGCCATCTACTGGCAAGCTGAAGAAGTATAACCCTGCCTGGTGACCTGGGACTAGAAGGACCAAAGTACAACACCAGTGCCAACCAGTTCGAGTCTGAGTCTGAGTCTGCCTACAAAATGGCCTCTATTACCAAGCATGTTCATATAAGGTCTCAATAACATGTCTAGCTAGACCAACAGAAGGAAGAGGCAGCATGGATGCCAGCACATGAGAAGACATAAAAGATGCCAGCAGTACGAAACACATCATTCAACTCAGATGACACAGAAGCCAGTCGCAATGGAGAATTCGACCTCATCATCAACCAGCCAGCATCTTCATTTATCTGGTCAGTCAGCCCATATTAACCAATAGTTCACTAACACAATAATCCAAATGTACATCTAAAACCCCATCAACCTCTGTCCATTTCAATTTATTTTATCAATATATTTTATGTTAAACCTCATTTTACTCATTTCACATTCTGCATGAACACTCCCTTCTGATCAAGTAATTAGCATCCAGGTTTGATTCCCCCTACTTCGGGATTAGGGAAGGCCTGATGCCCCAAACACCTGCCATGTTTTGTAGTTTCTTCAAACACCTAGGAAGCTGTTTTATTTGCCAATTTCCAACTAGAATTGATTAGAGAGATGGTGGAAAATGCAGTGCAGAAAGCCGAAAAAGTGGAGGAAGAATTCCCACCGATGTTCCACTTCGGTTTGTAGGAAGACATTTTCCTAAAATGTTAGAAAAACCTAGGATATGTAAAGTTTGTTCAAGTAAAAATAAAATATGGCAAATTAAAACATATTGCAAGGAATGTGATATGGCACTTTGTATAGGGCCCTGTTTTGAAATATATCATACAGTAAAAAAATTATTCGAAAAACATAATTAAAATACTAAAAAAAAAAAAAATACATATATATATATATATATATATATATATAAAGGGTTTTTAACTCCACCAGTGGCGGTCTACAGTGCGGATCCAAAAGGAGGATGGAAAACATAATAAAAAAAGTGTAGAATGAAAAGAAAATGACGAACGGTAGAACTGAAAAAGTATTCCGCACACGGGGCACTTCAGGCACTAAGCTATCCCGTACCACTCTATCCTCTAACCACATGAGTATTACGCAGCCAAAGGGTTAATACATGGGGATATAAATGACGATCATTGTCTGTGGGGTAGTACTGATATTAATGAACAAGGTGAAACCTTGTTAGAATGTATATAGCCTCAACAAGCTTGGGAATTCAAAACAACGGCAGTGAAGCTACTTTTGTGACTAGGGCTATAAGTGAGGTCTTTGACATTATATTCACTTCAAGCCGAATTAAGTCTATTTAAAGACTGGGTCGTCACCTCAGACATCACACTGTCTGATAAAAATTCTATGATCCTTCCCTGAAAAGAAATCCGAGAAACTGATTGAAAGCTTTACAGAGATATATTGGAAAGAATCAAAACCCACAAGGTGGATGGTATAAAAAATCAAATAGATAAATAGACTCGAATAGAGACTGCCTTTGTGAAGAAAGAACAGGACCAAAGAAAAACATCAGATGGTCTAATGATCTGACTAAGATACAAAATGAAACTAGGAAAGCCTACAGAACAAGACTAAAAGAAGACTGAGATCATTTTAGTGCCACTTCTAATATTTACAAAAGAGTATTAAGGAGGAGCAATTGGGAAGATTGGTGTAACTTTTGCAGTAATGTGGAACAAACGTCTGAGGCCTCCCAAAGATAAATAAAGATCCTAGGCAACAATAACCACCAGTCATTAGGTGCTTAATAACCTCCATCCTTGAGAATACTTTGACTTATTTAATGGAGACCCATTTCGCGGATAGTAAGGTAATAAATAAAGACAAGCCTCCTATAATGGACCCAAATAAAAGAAGCCTCAATTAAAGAGGAAGATTGGCCATGGGCTGAGGCAGTAGTTACCAAAGGGGCTGTGGGAGAGCTCAAACCATATAAGGCCCCTGGTATGCATGGAAAATTTCCATTCATGCTTAAAGAGGATCTTAATGTATTACTTCCTCAAATTTAAGCACTTCTTAGATCCTCACTAGCACTTGGATATATACCGGAATCCTGGAGGAAATCATTAATAGCTTTCATTCCTAACAACTGTAAGGAGGATTATAGTGTTGCTAAAGCTTATCGACCTATAAGCCTAACCTCCTTTTTATTTAAGATACTGGAGCAGTTGGTGGCAGTTCACTTAACTGGTAAAGTGCTGCCTCATCACTCTTTACACACAAACCAACACGTTTATCTCCAGAGAAAATCTATGGACACAGCCCGATACTCTCTAATAGGGAAAATAGAAAAGGCCCTGCACTAGAAGGAATCTGTGTTAGGACTCTTTTTTGATGTAGAAGGGGCATTCGATAAGACCGAACCAGAAGCAGTTTGTAAAGCCTTAGTAAATATATCTGCCCCCACTAGACTGATCAGTTGGGTACTAAAAAATAGAATTATTGTTGTTTCAGAAGTAACAGATAGATTGCAGGCACAGGCGGTGACAGGGTACCCCCAAGGGAATCTCTCCATGTAATCCTCCTGTATCTCACCACTGTTGTGGTGCCTGGTTAATGAATGATCTATTAAATAGACTTGAGGAAGCTGTGGGCCGGGTGGCCGAATGAGCTAACGCGTGTGCACAGCACCACCGTTGCCCGGCAACCTGATATATCAATCAAATGATATAAAATAATCATGAGTTCGTGCCCTGGTGCCGAAGGAGTCTTTTGAATCCCCGCCAACACTCCCTGGCCCAGGAAAACCCCGTACAGCCTTAACGGCGAGAAAGGGGAGGACAGAAAAAAAAAAGACGAGATTTATGCCTAAGCATTTGAGGACGATGACACGATCCTTATCACAGTAAAAGTCCAACTTTTTATACCTAACTTCTACAGACACTATGATTGTCTGGGATTTTTGCACCTGTGCCAATTATTCATCAACAGGTTAATAAGAAAAAGATAAAACCTGATTCACCTAATTAATGGCAATGGTACAATTAACATTTGTAGTGTTAAATTTTCATTCATATTATAACATTATTCTTCCTAAACACCCCTCCTTACATAGCATCTCATTGAATCATTCTAATATTGATAAATTTTACAATATTATATTAGTTGGACACAAATAAAATTACCGAAATCATTTGTGAAAAATTTAAAAGCTTCAAGCAGTACTACCAAAGAAATTTTTATAATCTGGGGAAAATAAGATTTTTTAAAAATATATATCAACTGAAATATTTTCTTTATACATCAATAGGTTCATAGTAGTGGTATATTATATTCCTTAATAAATTCATTGATAAAAACTGGATAAGCCAATATCACCAGAATAAGTAAATGGGGAAATGATGATAATCATTATTTACCATTTTCCATTAATTAATATATAACATTCAAAGAAAAGTGCTTAATAACAGACTTCATCGAACAATTAATAGTATTGATAAGGTAAAAATGTTACTCCATTTTCATGGGTGGTACAAGATCTCATGATCACACCATGAATAGAATTGGGAGAATGGCCGAATATAGCTTAAACTGTCTGGAAAGATCCGGAATTTAACTGAAAAAGGCACATTGGGGGTTTGTTTATGCCTTTTGAGGGAATGCAAGTTGAAAGCACCAATGTAATTAAAACTAATTAAGGACCCAATTTTAACTAGAAATGATTAGTAGAGACTTGACTGAAGTCAAATAACAATCTAAATTATGTGAGCTTAGACTGGAAACACATTATCAATCGTTGGAATCCCCTTTAAAGTGTGATCATGGGATTCTGGCCCACTCGCTATAAGGAGTATCATTTGTATAATAGTACCGAAAGTCATTTCCTATTATCACTTAAAAATATATAATTTTTCTTAAATGAAATTTTAAAAAAGAAGTATAAAAATGGAAAATCATACGATATCGTAAAACAATAGAATGAAATATAACTTTATATAATCAAGGTTCCTTCAAATACTAAACAGAATTATTGAATATTAATTTCTGAATTAAAAAATAAGTCTAGACTGTTATAAAATCAAAATGGTAATAATATGTAATGAAGAGAAGAATAGTTGGGGTGGTCAGTCAAAAAAGAAAGCAAAAATAAATGATAATATTTATTTTTACATATGCCGACGTTTCGACCTGAAGTTCAGGCCTTCATCAGGGCTAAGAAAATAACCAGATAACAAGGTATGAGAAACATAAGTAGTGATGGTAAAAAAAAAAAAATAAATAAATAAAAATTATAAAAAAATAAAAAATAAATAAATAATTTTACTATTTATTTTCATTTCTTATATAACTTCATATTTCTTTTTTATGTTTTACATTTTATTCTAAGATTCCCATTTTAACACTTATGTCACCCTTTTTGATTATGCCTACTTCATCATTCCACACTTTGTAACGGCTATTATTATTTATCTCTTAGTTTTTACTATTGTCATTATTCTAACAATTTCATTTTACTTTATATATATATATTTTTTTTAAATAATTTTTTTTTTAACCATCACTACTTATGTTTCTCATACCTTGTTATCTGGTTATTTTTATTAGCCCTGATGAAGGCCTGAACTTCAGGTCGAAACGTCGGCATATGTAAAAATAAATATTACCATTTATTTTTGCCTTCTTTTTTGACTAACCACCCCAACTATTCTTCTCTTCATTATCCACGACAGTCAACCATTTACCAATTATGGTAATAATATGTGATATCATCCAGTTACAAGTATAATTGGTATCAACATACCTCTGAATATAGAACCATCAACTTGTATGGTCTACAAAAAATGTAGATTATCGACACTTAGAGCAGTTCTTTTGACGTAGTCTTTTCATAAATGAAACACTACATTTATTACTCAAACCAATATCAGAGAGTTTCTTATTATCATCATCAAGCTTGGTGTGGGCGGAAACAAGAACATTATTTCTCCAAACATATTTCCAGGAGAGATGTGAAGAAAACCCCGATCTATCCAACCAAAGAGTAGTGTAACGCCTTATAGCTCGTTTCAAGTCTAAAACAGTTGCTTTTATGGGAACCTGGAATCATGTAATATAAAGCTGTGAAACATAATTGAAAAATAAAGACAAAATCCACATATCACTACAAAAAAAATACTATCAAAGACCGTTATTATAAGACTGGTCTAGGGGAATTGTAGACCATGGTTAGGACAGATATGAATGAGTCATTTGTATAAAATAACACAATAAAACATTTTCACCAGTGCCCTTAGTCAAGGATTTCAAAATAAATGCCCAGGATAAGAATAAAATGTTTTAGTTTTATACCTGGGCAGCAGACTTATACTTGATTATTAAAATGATGGGATTAGAATTGAATGACTTTAGTAGGATTAGTGCAATATATCCCATTATAACAAGGGTCCTCAACAATACTCCAAAGAATTGAACTTACAACAATTGGCCAAGTGTCACCATTTTCTTTGTGAAGAAATATTGTCATTGACTGCCCATGTTCTAAAGCAAGTTGGTTAGTAACTTCTTCCAAAGTAACATCCTTTGGAAGATCACGAAGAAGAGGATCATTTTGTATAAGATCGGCAATAGTTTTCTTGGTAATTTCCATAAGCTCATCCCTAGAGAAAGAATGATTAACATCTTCATCCTCGTTCATTGTCAATTACTATTCTCTGAAAAATTCTATAATTTCATAAATGCAGAGGTAGTAACATAAACGTCTGAAAAAAAAAAACATAAAGACGTTCCTACTTACAAGAAAATTCAAATGCTCATCAACTGCTATATAACCTCACATTTTATGAACTCAGCGGCAATTAAGGAAGTTGTGATTATATCGATATTGATATTTTTCTTTCGATATCACTGGATATCGTAGCGAAAAAAAGGATTCGATATATTTAGTTACTTTCGTAGAAGTTTTTTAAGGGCACTTATTGTACTTACAAATGGTGTCTCCAAAGATATATATATATATATATATATATATACAGTGATGGAAAAAAGTATTTGCACATCATGTTTTTATGAATAAATGAGTTCAAGGAACCAAAAAACTTCGCTTTCCTCTGCAAAAATGAAAAGTACATTTGTTAAAACCTGAGAAAAACCTTTTGGAAAAAAATGACAACACTCCATAATGAAACAAAAAATTAAAACAATAAAATTGCTTGGAAAAAAGTATTTGTACACCATGACTCACAAGCTCTGTTTACTTTGGCATTAATCCTCCTGTGTCCATAGGTCATAGGTTTGTTTACTAATTTACCTCTAATCGTGTATTACCAGTATTCTCTAGTCTTTCAATCAGTTTCCTTTAGCCAATAGACAATTATCATGCCAAAGACAAGTGAACTGTGTGCCGCAACTCGCGAAAAAATTGTTTTACTGAGGAGTCAGCAAAAAACATAACGCCAAATTGCCGATTCCTTAGGGTTGAATTTTTCTACAGTGAGATACGTCAAAAAAAAGGTATTGAGAACGTGGTGCGACTGAAAACAGTGAGCGTAAAGGGCGTCCAAAAAAGTTAACTCCCAGGCTGAAGAGGAAAATCAGAAAAAAAGCTCTTAAAAATCCTCTGATAAGTTCTCGGGAGCTGGCTACCATGGTCCAATCAACGTCTGGAGTTCAGATTACTAGCAGAACAATTAGATATGCCATGAATTCGGAAGGGCTCCATGGTAGAGTTCCAAGAAAGAAGCCATACATCAGTGAAACGAATCACAAAAAGCGCCTTGCTTTTGCTAAGGAATACGTACAGAAACCCTTAAGCTTTTGGGAAAATGTCATATTTTCTGACGAAAGCAAATTTAATTTGTTTGGTTCAGATGGTCGAAGGACGATATGGCGACATCATAATGAAGCACTAAAGAAGCAAAATGTTTTAACAACTGTAAAGCATGGTGGAGGACATGTTATGGTTTGGGGGTGTGTTTCCTACCATGGTGTGGGAAATCTTGTGAGCATCGAAGGCATTTTAAATGCGGAAGGCTATGTGAACATTTTGCGACGTAATTTGCGTCGTAATTTGCGTATTAGTGCCGAAAAAATGGGAATCCAGGATCAGTACTATTTCCAGCAGGACAAGGATCCAAAACAAGTACGAGGAGAACAAAGGAGTGGTTAATAATTAATGTTCCAAGACAGCTCCACACTCCTCCTCAGTCACCAGATATAATTATTGAAAATTTATGGTACACCCTTGACCAAAATGTAAGAAAACACCATGTCACTAGTGGACATCACCTTAAACAACTTCTTGTTCAAGAATGGGTACAAGTAAACGTAGATTTAATTAAAAACCTAATGCATTCAATGACCAGACGTATACAAGCAATTATTGACGCAAATGGCCTATTTACAAAATATTAAAATTTAAAATAAACTTGTAAATGTGGAAGTGTGCAAATACTTTTTTCCAAGCACTTTTATTGTTTTAATTATTTTGTTTGATTATGAAGTGTTTTTATATTTTTGTAGAAAGTTTTTTTTCAGGTTTTAATAAATTTACTTTTTATTTTTGCAAAGGAAAGCGAAGTTTTTAGTTTCCTTGAACTAATTTATTCATAAAAACGTGTTGTGCAAATACTTTTTTCCATCACTGTATATATATATTGAACAGTTTTCTCATTTTCAAGTTCTCTGCAAATAGTCACAAAAAACATTGCTGATAATAATCATTAATTAACTAACGACATTTACATGCATGATGTCAATACTTACCGTGGGAACTTATCAAAACTCCATAGTTTCAAAATCTTTCTATTACATCTTATTTCTTGTTTACAACCATGTAACTAAATTATCATATTCCATTTTATTTACATATTTTATAATGCGTGCCAATTCTAAAAAAATATATAAATAAGATTCTAACGTGCATTTATTTTCAAATCAAAATATTTGCAATTCAGTATTCTTATGCTTATTTTATTTGATATATGTACTCACACGAAGCTCTGCACTACCTTCTATTACTATTGTTTTATATGGACTGCCACATTTGAACTCTTATGGGATAAATGTGTCAGTAGGAATTGCTAAAGGGATATAGCGTTGTTGATGTTTTTATTCTAATTAGAAACTAATTTCATTTGATATATGAATATAATGTTGCCCAATATTTTTAACATCTATTTTGAAATTTACTGTATTATTTATATTTTTACTTTCACTTAAATATATATAAAATATATAGTAAGAGACAGTATTGTAATAGTGAAAATTTTCAAGTTCAAGTTTTCAACGGAAATAAATGTTTTGAGGTCCCTTAAGTCCAAATAACCAAGTCCTGTAAAATGGTCTCTGTGTGTGTGTGTGTGTGTGTGTGTATGTGAACAGTCTAGCTCAAAATCGGAAAGCTGTATGAAAGTGAAATTGCACATTTACGGTTTTTATATACCTCAGATGTTAAAGCAACTTTTTCGTCAAAATCGGCTAACCGGAAGTGCCACTTTATATTAACAGTGAAACATATTTTTACATTTTTCTCAAAATCGGCTCTAACGATTTTGATTTAACTCGGTGCATCATTGTATAATTAAGTAGTCTTTAATATCATTTAGGTCTTATCCCCATTGATGTCACTTTACAGGGTTTAAATGCCTAATGTTCATACACGCCTTCCTCTAAAGTACCTTTAATATGGTTTATTTAAAAAATATAACTCTCTTTTATTGACAGTTGCTATAAAAAATGGCTCCATATGAAGTTTAAAAGAATATGATAATTGGAAACAGGGTGAGTATTTGAAAGCTTACTAAATTCCCTACAACACGCAAAATATATCATCGAAATAGGACAATTTGGTGCACAGTTATAGCGTTCTGAACATTTATTATTTGTTACACTGCAAAGATTGAGTTAAATCTGGGTACTTATTTATCAAATTGGAAATTTGCCCTTTGTTTCCGGGGTACAGTATATTATGTATCAATTAGTAATTCTTTTTTTAATTTTAAAAAATCATATTCTTTTACATTAATAACAACATTAATTTTATTTTTATTTATATAAAGTATTTTCCTTTAAACATTGTTGGTAATTTTTTTCAATGTGCTTCGATTACAATAGCATTTACCATTATTTCTTTATTATTGTAATTAATCATTTTAAAAATACACTTTCTATTTTTTTAATGATAAATCAACATACATCGTGATTGGACTAACTATATAACTCCCTGATAACTGAGAATTTGAGGCATTGGTCGTCATCAGATGTTTTAAGCAACATTTAGAAGATTTTGCTAATTTATGATAATCTAATGAAGGAAAAAGCTAAATTTTAAATCATAAGTTTAAGGAAATACAATGGTTAAACCAAGGCAGAATGTAAATCCTATTCATAAACAGACAACTTACAATATACATAATAAATATTATTGAATGGAAGTTGTTCTATTATTGTATTGAAATCAGATACAATCATTAGGTTTGTGCGGATTATTCGCACAGGTCAGCTAATATAAATAATAATTTCAGAAAACTAACATTATTTAACGTAAATAACATGTTTCCAAGGAAATTAAATGAAATTTTCTTACTAAATGTAAACTTTTATTTATTTTTCAAAATTTAAAAAAATAATACTTAAAATCTACCGAATCAAGCTAATACCATTGTTTAAAATACTATTTCATTGTACTTGTGTGAAAGAAGTAAATATAAAAATATTTCATGGATATGTTTATAACCTTTGTAGAGTTAATGCATGTTATCTGGCAGCACTGTTGAGCTGTTGTAAGCAAAGCAGGTTGGCTTGGGTGAGGTTACCCAGAGGGAAGAGTAGTTCTTTGTTTTTGATTGTGTGATGTTTTTGTAGAATAATAAAAGGTGTTTTGTGTATTTGGGGTGTACAAGTTTATCAACAAAGCCTCATTTGTTTCCTGAAGTGATTTTCTGACATTAAATAGTGGCATCCCTTGTTTGAGGAAGGTTATTTAAGGATTTATTTCGGAAATATCATTTTAAATATATTGTGCCCATGTCTAATATGAAATATATAGTAAGGGACAGTATTGTGATCATGAAAATTTTCGAATCTGAGTTTTTAACGGAAATAGATGTTCTGAGGTTTTTTGAGTCCAAAAGACCAAGTCCTGCAAAATGGTGTGTATATGTATATGGCTAGTCTAGCTCAAAAACGAAAAGTCGTATTGAAGGGATAAATAATTAGGTATGCATCGTCGATATATTAAAAAAAAAAATTCTCTTTGTGAAATCATATTATCCACTTACGATTAGTGTGACGACTTTTGACTTATCGATGTTATATTTAAAAGCAAGTAACTGTATTTTGGTAAATGTTCCAAGGGTAAAAAATAAGAATTTAAATACATGTTAAAAGTGATAGAGATTGAATAACTATAATTTTTACTATGAAGTACAATTCTTACTTATTCATAATTAAATAACTGTTCTTTCAAATCTCTTTTAGTCTATAGAGCTCAGAGACTGGAGCTATGTAATATAAATAGATGGATGCAGTTATAAAGTTTTTATTGCTTACAATTGATATAATTAATAGGGTTTATGTTATTTTGATGGTCCTAATGAGTTTTTAAATTGATCAAAATGACCAAAATTCAAAAATATGTTGTTTAAGGTTTAGGCTGAATGAAAAATAAGCTTCAAAAATTTCTTGTAATAGTCCAATTTTGCCATACAAGAATTGCTTTTCGAAGTAGAGTGGTAAGTGAAAGTTGTGTGATGCGCGCACCAGATCTTTTCTGTCAATCTTGGGTTATATTTTAGTTTGCAGTATATATTATTCTTTCTGCGTTGTTTTCTATATTATCCAAATTGCCTTTATTAGTATTTTCTTCGTTGTCTAATATTTTAAAATAATCGGTTATGAGATTTTTATTTTTATTTCCTTTATTTATATTACTATTTCTTATACTAAAATTATTTGGTATTTTACATCGGATATCGTTTTATCGTCATTTTGTCCAAAAGATCAGGGCACCATATAATGCCATTTCCTAGATTTAATGTATCATGAGTAGGGATGGACCGTTCCACCCGGAAAGAATTCCACCACTGGAACGGTTCGGAACGGAAAGAAACCTTCGGAAACTTCGTTATCTAAGAATATAAATGTCTTTAAGTTTCGATGGGTAAATGTTCGGCAGAGAAGTCAAATAGGTACAAAAGGGATTTGTAGCAATGTTAGTGCGCTGATTGCTGCCGAAGTGGAATAACGGAATGGTTGAGATAGGTTGTTTGCTTCAAAAGTGAACCATAACAACTAAATTTAACTTAGGGTTTGATTAAATATAAAAAAAAATATAATAAGATCCTAACCATAATTTTAAGATAGAAATATGCAAATTTTAAAAATACTGATTATAATGCCAAGATTCAGACAAACTATTAAAATAATAATAAACTAATTATAAATAGTATTCAATAAAAATTTGAATATCAAGTGTCATGGCCGCAACTGCAGTTCAATATTCATATCGTTCTGTCTTTGTTACATTGTCATCTGGTTGTTATCTTAAATCCCTTTCTGAGACTTTGCAAACAGTGTTTATAAACAGTTAAACATTTTTACGTAATAATTAGTGAGGTGAGTGACTTTTTAATAACAATTAGTGATTTAATAACAATTGATACTCGTCTGGTAGAGACAGTTTACGTGGCAGATAATTCCCCTCAGCGGGTCTTATCTTTCAAGTTTACGGCCACGGCGCTTGGTTTCACGTGAGAAAATCGCGAGTTCGTACCTCAGACAGTCTATAACTTTTTTTTTTTTCTTCTCTTTCTCTTTATTTATTTTTTTTTTACTAAGACTTTTATTTTATTTACAGAAAATGTTTTATTTAATATTTTTATATAGCTTTGTAAATAGATTAGTTATTAAGTATTTATTTTGTATACTTTCTTATTAGTGATATATATTTTTTTTTTACTTTCTCTTCTTTTTTTTTTTTTATATATTATTTAGAGGTATGTAACCTGAGAGAAACATTTCATGTGACGAATCAGATGAAGAGACTCCCTTCTCCGAAATCAGTGAGACTGATTCTCAATATTTAACCAGGCGAACTCTACAAAAGCGAAACAGAAACTCTGCCCCCGGTTCGGCGGGCAACTCACCAAATAAAAAAAAAATAAATCCGCTAAATCAAAGCAGCCACTTAAAGTAG